GTTCGGCGCATCCCCTCCTCTCCTCTACTGCAGAATGGATCATAAATGACGAAAAGAATATAAAAGTTGTAATAATAACAGGTTTGAGGGAGGGGACATATTGGATTAACTGAAATCAAATATGGTGGCACAGTTGGATGGGGTTGCTTTGGTGGGGGATATCAAGGAATGATTTAAATTGCTTTATTGAAGCAGCTATGATTATATAATGAGATAGATCATTGCATATGGGCAGGACTCTGTTACTGAAGCCTGACCTCCTTGCGTTAGTTCTTGGCTGGGCATGCAGAGTATAAGGACATTCAATCTGTTGGATGTTAATATGGAAGTGAAATAAGTCAAAAAATCTACATAAATGAATCCTTTTATGATGTTATGCAGTGACCATAAATGTTGGCCCGTACATCGAGTTTCAAGCTAATCGATGTCGAGTATAAGCAAACTGAATTCATAAGACGTATCACTTTTACCCATAGTAGTCTGTTTTGGAGTTTTGTTGGAGGATTCAGTGCGATTGATCAGTTTCTCCGTCTGAATTGAAGCAATAATTGAACTGTAGTCTGAAATTAGAAGTATAAGCGTTCCATACATTTTGACGGGGAACACGATGATCAGGAATTAAAGCAACTGAAAACAGGATTTTAGCAATTGATGAAGTTGTCAGTGGCACCTCGCCACAGATGAAAAATTATATTTATAATCATGCTTACATTCAGATCGAAGTGGAACAACAACGCCTGCTCTTTGCAGTACTCATAAGCGATTTGGAGGTGTTGACTGTAACAGTGTTCCAGGATCTGATGCAATTAGTTGCTGGATTTATCATCAACTATGTTCACCGAAAACGACCAGTGAAGGCGAGCAGTTGCATCTATTTATCAACAATGTATCACATTTTGGTGTTCGTGAAGGTTTAACATGGCACTGAATTTCCGAATCATAGATTCAATGTGTTATCAAAATTTTAAAATAATCAAATGACAAGTCATTTCGTTTGCTTATCATTGATATCATGTGAAGAGGCGTCTGTTCGGCGCAACTGCCGTGTTTCTCCCCCACAGCTCGCTCTAGAGATTGAACTTAAATCACGAAGAGAATTTAAAAGGTGTAGTGATAATCTATCTAAGGATGGGGCATGCTGGATTAATTGAATTCAAATATGGTGGCATACTTGTATAGGGTTGGTTTGATGGGATGGGTTTCAAGAAATGATTTGAATTGGTTTATCGATTGTGCAATGAGCATATGATGAGATAGGTCACTCCATCTGAGCATGACTTTATTACTAAAGGCTCACTTCCCTGACATTAGCTCTTGACTGGGCATGTTAGAGTATAGGGACATTCAATCTGTTGGATGTTAATATGGAAGTAAAATGAGTCGAAAAATCTGCATGAACGAATCCATTTATGATGTTATGCAGTAAGCATAAATGTTGTTTCGTACATCGATTTTCAAGCTAATCGATATCGAATACAAGCAATCTGGATTCATAGGGCGTATCACTCTTACCCAATAGTAGTCTGTTTTGGAGTTTTGTTGGAAGCATTCAGTGCGCTTGATAGGTTTTTCTGTCTGAGGTGAAGCGATAAATGAACTGTAGTCTGAAATTAGAAGTATAAGCGTTCCATACATTTTGACGGGGAACACGATGTATCAGAAATTAAACCAACTGAAAATGTAATGAAGCGTGTGGCTGAATTTTTTAGCAGTTGATGAAGTTGCCAGAGGCGTCTCGCCCCAGATTAAAGATTATATTTATAATCATATTTACCTTCAGATCGAAGTGGAACAACAACGCCTGCTGTTTGCAGTACTCATAAGCGATTTAGAGGTGTTGACTGTAACAGTGTTCCAGGATCTGATGCAATTAGTTGCAAGATTTATCATCAACTATGTTCACCGAAAACGACCAGTGAAGGCGAGCAGTTGCATCTATTTATCGACAATGTATCACATTTTGGTGTTCATGAACGTTTAACATGGCACTGAATTTTCGAATCCTAGGTTCAACGTGTTATCAAAATTTTAAAACAATCAAATGACACGTCATTTCGTTTGCTTATCATTAATATCGTGTGAAAATGGTCTGCTCGGCGCAATTGCCGCGCCTCTCCCCCATAGATCGCTCTGGAGATTGAACTTAAATCACGAAGAGAATTTAAAAGGTGTGGTGATAATCTATCTAAGGATGGAACATGCTGGATTAATTGAATTCAAATATGGTGACATACTTGTATAGGGTTGGTTTGATGGGATGAGTTTCAAGAAATGATTTAAATTGGTTTATCGATTGTGCAATGAGCATATGATGAGATAGGTCATTCCATACAGGCATGACTCTGTTATTGAAGACTTACCTTCTAACGCTGGATGCTGACTATTGTTGGTAACCGCGACATATCTTGCAATGTTCCAAGATGGAACACTTTTTCGGTGGGCACAGAACATCGGTGGCCACCGATAGACCAAATTTGAGTGTCGAACGATTTTAATGTGTGATAACTGAAGTTCGGTTAGCCAAGACCATCGGTCGAACAGTCCGTTCTGGTTGCGATCGGGAACCACCGATGTTCGGGGAGCTTGATTTTTGGTAGTCCCCAATATTCGGTCTCGTTCAGTTTCGGTCGCTGTCATCGAAATTTGTTACTCGCTTGCTATGGTGGAACAGTCGTTTTCGGTTGTGGTCGGGGTCCATCGATTTTCAAGGACCCCCGCATTTCGTTGGCCTCCCAAAATCCGTCGGGGTCCTCCGACTGAAATTCAAGGAGCCCGATCCAACTCTAATTGTGTGGGTTGTTTAATATCTTTATGAATCATAGTGCTGTTGACTTTACCATGATAAGTACTCTCAATATGAAACCAGGACGTTTTGTCGCCGTGTTTTCGCCTGTGGGACATTTCGCCGCCAACGGTCATTAGGAACTTCTGCTGCCCGAATTTTGCAATCATGATTAGGGATTGCTAATCGCCGATTGTCGGTAAGAACTCGCGTAAAGAAGTTGTGTACTTGTTTATGGACAATTGTGAACAGTGTCAAACATATCGATGTGCAGTGAATACAATATCAAACGATTTCGTTTGTTTTTGTCATCATAAACTTAAGATCAGCTTAGGCGAAGGGTGAGGCTCGCAGGCACAGCATTCGCTTGATCGTCGGCTCAGGCTCATGTTTAACCAATGCTTTCGCGTACGATGAGTCTTAGGCCCAAATTTAGGTTCAGGTTCAGTCTGGAGCTGAACCCGAGCTCACGCCAAGACTGAGGCTAAGAGCTGGAGTATTCTTGGGGCTAGCCTGGGCCCAGCCTCAAGTTGAGGCTTCGGCTGGAATATAGACTGAATCCTTCTAAGAGTCGGGTAGGACTCGTACTTAACCGAGATCCGGGCACACATCTTATCGTTAGTAATCTTAAATCTCGCAGAGGCCGAGCGAAAGCTTAATCCCTGGCTCCGGCTGATGCTTACGATAGCGCTTCTCCTCGGCTTAAGATGATGTTCGTGCTCAAATTTCGGATACGTATTACGACTTCTCGAGCAACTCTTATGCAGTGAGATAATTCCGATGTTCGCCTCTGCTTCTTTATTCACGACGCACTTACGAAAACCGGGAGAAGAACAGATAACTTAGGATATGCGTCTTTCACAATATCATTTTGGATTTATGGTATAGTACACCGTACTGAAAACATATTGCAGTATACGTAAACTGTATTTTATGAAGTTGAACAGTACAGTGTGTTTCGAATGCGGTCAAGGAGCACTGATTTTCGGGACCCTACGAATTTAGTTAGCCCCCAAAAATCGGTCGAGAGCCTCTGTCCGAAGTTAGGAACCCCGACACAGCTTTAATCTTGAATGATTATGGAGAGTTCGGGGCCATTCAATCTGTTGGATGTTAATATGGAAGTGAAATAAGTTGAAAAATCTGCATCAATGAATCCATTTATGATATTATGCAGTAAGCATAAATGTTCATTCATATGTCGAATTTCAAGCTAATCCATATCGAGAACAAGTAATTTCGATTCATAGGGTGTATCACTTTTACGCAACAGTTGTCTGTTTTAGAGTTCTGTAGGAAGCATTTAGTGCGCTTGATCGGTTTTTCTGTCTGAGGTGAAAAGATAAATGAATCTTAATCAGAAGTCGGAGGTATAAATGTTCAATACATTTTGATGGGAAAACGGTGTATCGGGAATTGCAACAAATGAAAATAACATAAAGCGTATGGCTGGCTTTTTTTGCAATTGATGAGGTTGTTAGTGGTGTTCCGCCACAAGTGGAAAGTATTTTTATAAGTTTGTATGTGTTCAGGTTTACGTGGGACAGCGACGGCTGCTCCTTGCGCTACTTATGAAGGATACAGGGGCGTTGATTGCAATGGTCTTGGAGAATTGGAATTCATCAATTGCAGTATTCATTACCTGCTATGTGAACCGGAAACGACCACTAAATGTGAGGTGTTGCTACCATTTATGTTCATTCAATCAAGTTTTAACATTCATGAATACAGCATCAGCTGTGCTCTTTTGCACTGAAAAGTCTTGCAGTGTTAAGCACTCCAACTGATTGCACTTTTCTGCCACGAAAGATACCCACGGTGGTCAGTCCTCCAAATGTTGTGGTCATAACTGTCGACCAGTTGATTAATGGAAGAATCGTTTTTGGCGTTATTTTTACACCTATTACCCAATGAGAAGTGGAGGTGGATTCGTTCTTTATAGTTGGGAAGGATCTTTTTGTTTTGACCATTTATGGTCGATTGTTTTGCAAACTTACGTGTACGAATAATCATTTTCTAAGATTGGATTGTTGCAAATTATTTTTACTTCAATATCTTCAATCCCGAATATTCTGCTGGAGATGCGACAAGGAACATTTTGTCCATGCCGCCTCAGCCTATTTTCCAGATGAAGCGTCAGCATCAGCATGAGCCTATGGGTACTACAAATAGTGAACTTGCATTAAAGTGAGCATGATCCTGACTCTGAGCTTAGGCTTCAGGGTACGCTTGAATATCGGAACACCAGCCCGAAGAGAAGATAATGTCCTGCGCGCGAGCCTAACCTTATCAGTCGCGAATATCCGCATGAAGCTCTAGGAAGTTGTCTAATCCCTGACTTAACCGAACTTGTCGGATAAGCAGCAGAATGTGCTGTGCTGTGCATTACCGCTCACCGTTCGAATTGGTGGGAATATTTAAAAGTACGCAAGAAAACAATGAACGAAAACCGTTACTGATACCTCCCGTGCTTAAAAAACTTCGGAGAAAATTTTCATCTTATAAAAACACTAAGAATTATAATCCAAATATTCCTGAAAGTATTATAATAAGATCGACAGAAACCTTATAGGAACATTGCCTGCACCGGTTGACATATGAATAGAATTAACAATGATAAAACACGGCTTTTCACTTACTAATTTTGAATACAGCATTTCCAGAAACACCACCTACATACATTGTTTAAATACCTGAATAAAATCATTCTTTTCTGATGCATATGATATGATCTTCCACCATATAATAATCCCGTTCACCCTTTGAGATTTATTTTCAGCGGTACAAATCAACACGGGAAAAACAGTGACATCACCTACCGCAACAAAACCAGCACAAAAAACATTCAACACCTTGGAGCAAACCACCAACACATTACAAGGATCCCCCACAACGAAACAAACGTCCCCATCATCATCCACCAGTACGGAGGAAAAAACGACAGCAGCAGCATCGTCAAACACAGCAACCTCACCCTCCAGCACACAACCATCGCCAACCGCATCAACTGCATTCATAACTTCCTCATCATCACTATCAACGAAAGCTGCTGAAACATCGTCAGAACCAGCATCGTCTTCCAGCGTGGAGCAATCCTCAATGTCAGCCGATGTGGAACAGGCAACATTCCCAGGCACCCTTCCTACGGGAACACAATCATCACAAATCGTATCGGGAACATTCTCGACATCGGAGAAAACTGCAACCCCATCGTTTGGATTCACTAGCGTGGAGCATGCAACTTTCTCATCACCACTAATAACGAAAGCTGCTGAAACATCGTCAGAACCAGCATCGTCATCCAGTGTGGAGCAATCCTCAATGTCAATTGATGCCGAACAAACAACATTCGCCAGCAGCCTTCCTACGGGAACACAGTCAGCACAAGCCGTGTCGGGAACACTCTCGATATCGGAGAAAACTGCAACCCCATCGTTTGGATCCACTAGCATGGAGCACGCAACATCCTCATTATCAATACCAACGAAAGCCGCTGAAACATCGTCAGAACCAGCATCGTCTTCCAGCGTTGAGCAATCCTCAATGTCAACCGATGCCGAGCAAACAACATTAGCCAGCAGCCTTCCTACGGGAACGCAATCATCACAAACCGTATCGGGAACACTCTCGACATTGGACCAAACTGCAACCCCATCGTTTGGATTCACTAGCTTGGAGCACGCGACTTCCTTATCATCACTAACAACGACTGAAATACCGTCAGAACCAGCATCGTCTTCCAGCGTGGAGCAATCCTCAATGTCAACCGATGCCGAACAAACAACATTCGCACGCACCCTTCCTACGGGAACACAATCATCACAAACCGCATCGGGAACACTCTCGACATTGGACCAAACTGCAACCCCATCGTTTGGAACCACTAGCATGGAGCACGCAACTTCGTCATCATCACTATCAACGAATGCTGCTGAAACATCGTCAGAACAAGCATCGTCTTCC